AAGAGAGAAACAAAAGATAAAGAAAGGTGAGAGAAAATACTAGATCTTATTTGGGATTTTACGTAGAGGAAAGGAGAAAAAGCTTATTTCATCGTGTTTGGAAGCTCTAAGTGAGGGAAGGAAAAGGGAAAAGAAAGAGTATTATAATTAAAATTTAATCATAAATTCATAATGATAGAAGGTCAAAGATCTTTTATAATTGGGTAAATCGTGCTTATATGATCTAAAATTTCACTTTTTTTTTACTTATATGACTTAACTTGTAAAACATATCACTTAAATGATCTATCATATTTTCCATCTAGAAATATGATAAAAGAATAGAGAAATTGATTTAAAAATGTGAAAGTAAGCATCAGAGTAGAAGAATAGAAAAATTAAAGTAATAATAGACAGTAAAAGATAAAACCTTTAGCTTTTCGCCTATCATATCATACTCCCTTTAAAAGACTGAGTTGTGAAAAAACTTTTCATGGACTATATTGCCCCTATTCTTTTTTGATATTATATTCTAATCATAAATTAACTAAATTAATTATCATTATTAATTAATCATATTACATGCCACTTTAATTTTGTCTAACTTGGCCCTAAAACTTCCAATGTTATTGTAAATCTCTCATATTAGTTATTAATAATGCATAATACTATATTAATAGACAATTGCAAATTAATAAATTATTTTGGAAGGATTAGAAAATATAGAATTGTCCTAAAATTATATCATGACACTCACATAAGAAAATTATAAAGAGTATTTTTGTGTATATAAGTACAAACATGCAATTTTAGAAAACATTAGGATATTTAAGTGCATTAAGGTATAAGTGGAGGTATATGAGTGTAACTTTTAACCTATAAGGTATTTAGCTTTCATTAAGCCTATAAAGATTTGAAACATTTGTTAATCACAAGCAATAGTATGTGGTCCCTTTGATAAATAATGTTCATCACATAATATGAGGCCAGAGGCTTAGCTTATATTTATATAGTATAGAAGATGTGAAAAATTTTAAGCATCATATTTGGAATAAGTCTTGAGATTTTGAATTATAAATGAAATTATATAGTTCGCTTAGAATTATATTATACTCCCTTTAAAAGAGGAACTTGTAGAAAACCTATCTATGCACTATATTACCCCTATTTTTTAAAGTATTATATTTTAATCCTAACTAAACTAAATTAATTATTATTGTTCATTAATTATATTATATGCCACTTCAAGTTTGTCTAACTTGGTCCATAAAACTTCCAATGTTATTGTAAAACTCTCATATTAATTATTAGTAGTGTCTACTCTTTCCATTAATTATTTTTCTACTCTTTCTATTAATATTAACACACAATCAATAATGTATTGACATGCAATTATTGTAAAACTTCCAATGACTCGATTTGTATTAACATTGTAATATTCATCGTATTAACATTACACTCTCATTGTATTGACATGTAATATTCCAATGACTTCCATTGCGTGTCAACACAATTAATAATGTATTGCATGTCAATACAATGGACTATAATAGTCCATTGCAATTAATAATGTATTAACATTACACTCTCATATTAATATTATTTATTAATAATAGTCCATTGCAATTAATAATGTATTAACATTACACTCTCATATTAATATTATTTATTAATACACAATTGCATGTCAATACA